TATATATATATGTTTTTGTGGTGATTTAATATAATAGATAAAAGGTTTACAATTATAAAAATATCTAAAGTAACAGTTTTATTTTTAAATGTCTACATTTATATATATTGGTTATCTTTACACATCCTTGGCAACTATTTAAATTTATGATGAAATATTTTAGATGCCAACTTAAAAATGTACAAGAGGTACAAGGGGAAAATTTTTTTTTCAGGGTACATTGGCAAAAATATTGACTTACAACTATTACTAAATAAGGTAGTGGATTCTTTTCTCCCTAACTCCACCCTTTCTCATTAACTCCAGTTCTATACTGAGTACTGTGTACTCCTTTGAAAAATAAAAAGATTCTAGTTTTGAGAGCCTATGAGATCTCAGCTTAAACCTGTACAATTTTAAAAGTCTAGTAATAGAGAATGGAAACTTGGCCCTGGTTTTTAAGAAAGTCTGCTTTAAATCCATGAAAAGAAGTAGTCACTCGAATCTTGGCAATAACCTTAATTCCCTAGAAATTTAAGGTTGCAGATAAAAAATTACAACTGTAGAACTGACTCACTTTAAGAAGACAAAAGACAGAAGGTATCTCTTTAGATTAATGTGTTAAGACCACATCAAGCTCACTTGAGAGAAAGTTGGCTCTAACGATGGTCCACAATGCAAAGCCAGATGTTCAGAAACAAATATATGGTTTCTAATGTTAAATTTTATGATAGTCTCTAATTAAAAATGCTTCATTATTCTAAAATATATGTCTATCTATTTCTTGGGTTCAAATTGTTATAAATGAGAATAATAAACAGTAATAACAAATAACCATACAAGTATATTAATGAAGGTATTCAAAACCTTTTTAATGGCAAATGAAATCAATCCCTTTCATAATTTTCTGAATTCAAAAAGTTTAAAAACTGTGGCCACCCTGCGGTATAATGAGATGAGCTGACTCAATGATGAGCATAATGCCTTATTGTGTTAAATACAGATTTTGAAACTGAGAATCTGAATCAAATTCTTATTCAATTGCTGCTAGTTCTACCTTAAAAAAAAAAAAAACGATCTAGGTGTAAAACCACAAGTTACAGTTTTATATCTAAGTGATTAAGAACTACTTTCAGGGAAAGTAATGGTACTCTAGTATTCCCTTCATAATTCTAATAAATTATCTAAGTATTCTGTGTTTCACAAGCCTCAAAAGACAACCAGAATTACCAAATTTTTGGGAGGGAATCAGATATTCAAATATATACCATTATGAGATTAAAATTTAAGATTTTCAATGAGTTGCCAATGATCAAAACAAAAGTATTTCTGTTGGATTTTTTTTTTTCTTTTTTTTTTTTAAATAACAGATCTCTAGTGCTTTGCGGGCTCAGAAACTTGGGTGATGATAGAAGACATTCATGAATATTAATTGAATATTGATTTCCTTTAATTCACTGGTTTCCTGGAGAGTTGCAGATTCACAATCAATAGGTGAAAAAGTAGAACTTGAGTGCAATGGGAGCTGAGGTGTTGAAAGGGTCAACACCATGTGGGAGGTGGGGATGGGCTTCAGAGTACCACTGCTTCAGTTAGGCATCAGGAAACTGAATATAGCAAGGCCACTTCCGTTCAACACCAACGCACAGCTCTTAAGAGGTGGAATACGCCAGGGCCAAGGGCACCACTGTGAACAGCGATTCACACACTTTTATATACAAACCACCTGGAGATCTTATTAAAACCAGATTTCATTCAGTAGGTTTGGGTGTGGGGCCTGATATTCTGCATTTCTAACAAGCTCCCAAGAGACACTGATCCTGCAAAAATTTCAAGCACTGATACTGTTCTTCCAGTCTAGAAATGAGATGTGTGACCTCATCTTCCAGTCTAGAAATGAGATGTGTGACCTCCAAGCTGGAGGCCCAGGCTCTCTCATCAAGTTGGCTGTTAAGCAGCTATAAGAATGGAAAATTGTTTAACCTTTAAGAGATCTATTATCTCCTGTAAAACTACAGGCATATACCAAATGATGTGTCAAGTCCCTTCAGAACTACATAAGGATTTTAAGAAAAACCCTATTTTTAGTTTGGCTGCTATCTTCTATATTTTTCCCCATAAACAGTGAGCAAAAATCAGAATGAAGTGTTATTGCATTATATTACTCTCAAAGGTCACCATCCAGTTGTGTTTTGAGCCAATATGACAGCTATTTTTTAATGTCACTTTCCACATTCTTTCTCCATAATTCTTAGAACACTATTCAGATTTTATTTTCCTTTAAGAATTCTATGAATTCTGAGTCTGTGGGGTTAGCTATCTGCTGCCTGAATGAAAATGTAGTTCTTATTATTTCACATTTTTCAGAGAAGCTGTAATATTCTTAAATAGAGAGTGATCCTTTAATCCGAGCCAACTTCATACACTGCACCCCTGCTAAGTGCAATGGCGGGTAATGGTTGCAAAGTGCATCTAATAGGGAACAAATTCTTTCCTTTCACTGAATAGAATTTGAGTCAGCTGCTTCCTGTTTATTCCCATTATCAACACTTTATTCAGAACTTGATTAACTCTTGTCTGGACTACTGTACTAATCTACCAACTGGTGTTCCACCTCCAGCCTTTCCACTCCATAATTATTCTAATACATCCCTGCCAGAGTAATATTTCCAAATTTCAACAAAGTGCTTCAAGTCAAAATCCTGCACCAGGCCCTTATTCAACACCTTCGTGCTATGGGGTCGACCTACCTTTTCCAGGTTCCCACTACTTCCCATAACCAAATATTTTCTACACTTCCCATATCCATGACTGTTTATTCATCTTTGCTACCTGGTATAAATTCTTCTTAGAAACTCTACTCCATTCTTCAAGACCGATTATAAATTCCAGTTCTTGCTTAAACGTTTTCTGATTCTTGCAGCAAGAAGTTGAACTTATGCAACACCTTGCTTTTGATTCTCTTCTCAACACCTACCGCCTTATAATTTCTTTACGCGCTTTCTCACTGCCCTCTACTATACAATTCTTGGGCATCTGTAGTTATGTTGTAATTATATCCGTAGCTCTCACAGTGCTTTTTAAACTTTCTGTACTTGCTGAAGAAATAAGTCAATGTAAATACAGCTTCAGTATTAACCTATGATAAAGATGTTCAGAAACTTTAGTCTTATCTAGTATTTATTTAGGGCGAATTACTTAATCTCCGTGACCCAGTATTTGTGTGTGTGTGTGTGTGTGTGTGTGTGTGTGTGTGTGTTGTGTGTGTGTTTGGGGGTTAGGGCTATCTAGTAATTTTTTTTACTCAGTGAATATAAAGTACTATGCTATATAAATGCTTGAGAAGAGAAAATTCTTCTGACTTTCTAGATCATGGTAAATATTGTCATAGGATAAATATGTTTCAGATTCGACTGCTGTGCTAAGAAAATTTTACATATGAATTCAAAATATACAAACATGCTATGTTCACACTTAAGATTCTAAAGATTTAACACAATCACACAGTCACATTGGCTTTACAATTTATTACTACACAGAGTTAATATTTCAAAAGAAAAAGCAGAATTTCTTCCTTAAGATACCATAGACAACACCTCAGGAATTATCCAATATTGTCTGTCATGGGTTGGGGACAATTGAGGGTGTCCTGTGTAAGATACAGTGTCCATTAATTGTTTTCTTAAAACATGAAAGTAAAAAAGTTTTAAATATCCATAATCATTATAGGATTTGTGAACCTTGGGAATATACCCAATTGATTTCTTGTGATCAAGAATATACAACACAATGACTAGGAACTGTCAGCTGCAGTGTATTAACACTTTTAGGATACTAGGCTGTTCTGTCGGTACAATATTGTAATAATTATAAGAACTTTAAAACTGAAGCTTGAGAAAATCTGTTCCTAATCAAAGAAATTAGCTATAATCTATCTATAATATTATAAATAAATTTTAGACTAATAGAACATTAAAATTTCTTAGTCTTACATAATTTTCAGTATTAATGTCTTCCAATCAATACCATTGCCAGAAAATATAGCTTTTAAGTAGCTCTGACTATAAATATAGTAATTTAATCCAAAACTAAAAAACTGCTTGAGAAATCTATGTTAACTATAGGGGAATTCTCTCACCTTTGTCCCATAGGAGTTAAAGAAGAAAATCAAATAGGGTTATAATTCCCTAAGGAATATTTTCTATGATATTCTTTTCTTTTGGAACCTATAAATCCTTTTATTGAGGTCATGCAAAAGGTATGTCTATAAATTAAAACTTAATATCCATTATATGAATTTGAGAGACTTACTTTGTCATATTTACTACTTTCTTAATTTTGCTGATACTGTTTTATGTCAGGAGTTTGCTCATCAGTGAAAAAGTCAAGGAAGATCTGAAGGTGTTCTTAACCCCCAGGTCACATACTCTAGTGTCTTTCTTCAAAAATATAGGCGCACAGCTTAAACTGTACCATTCAAGGTCTAGGTTGAAATAAATTTAAATATTGTCTCCCTGTTTATGGAATTCCTTCTCTGGTATACTTGTGGAATATAACTTATGGAATATAACACAACCTAACTTACTGCAAATCATGATTCTATTCTCAGAATGATTACTTATAGAATTACTCATTGTAAACGCAAGAGTGTAACAACAAACCAAGAAACCAGGTTTTGCACTGACAGTCTTTACATCCTTTCGAAAAGTTTATGTGTGACTATCTTTATAAATTTAAATAGGTTTATAATTTAGGAAAAATGTATCCCTATGGTTTTTGAGGAGAGAGCTGTAATTGCAAGACTGTGGAAAAGCATGCATAATCACATAATAAAAACTGTTGCCCCAAATATTCTCTTATGCTTTTGCCAAAGCTTTCACTGGCTTTTGCCATCTACCTTATGTCATGAGTATTTATAATTTAAACATGTAAACACCAGAGCAGAAACATAGAGGTCTAGTGCAGTGGTCTCTGGAGCCTGGCATGACTACTGCTGACATTATATATGATTTTAGGGGGTATACCAACTAACATTTAGTATTTTAATAGATACACATCTATTTTAAAGTGTATTAGAGAAAAACATACTAGCAAATCGACCTCATCACACTGATTCATCCTTGGGTCAAGTTTCCTTTTTACATAAATTTGAGATTAAAAAAAGGGTTCATTTAAAGAAAATATCAGGTTAATACAGCGTAGGTGCTTCCGACAAAAGCCATGATGGAGGAGGCCAAGGCATCTCTGGTGAGTGGAGAAGGTTGGGGTCAGGTAACACTGGTTCTGGTTCTAGCTCTGTCACCAACTGGTGGACAAGTCAGACCTCTTTGGGCATCTATTCTTTATTTGTAAAGAGATGTTCTATGATGTTCTCTTGTCAAATGCCATTATAAGGAACATCAATCTCTGTAAACCAAAAATAAGCATCCTAAGCCTTAACTCAGGATGTGCTCACTTCAGCTGGTCAAGGAAATCAGTGGACCAAATGTGGAACTATTTTGAGGTTAGAACAAAACATCTACTGCTGGTAGATTAGATCGAGTCTTTGAGAGATTGTAGATGAACTTGATTTTGCTTAGAAACTTTAGCTGTTTTACACATGGGAGGGATTCCAAGTGCCTTTGGACTCTCTCATCAGTGTGATAGCCAAATAGCAGAGAGTTTTACCTGCCATATTTCACATGTCTTACTATCATTCGAATCTGGGAGTAAGAAACCTAGATGTCCTTGATGCAGTCAGATGAAGGATTTAAATTAGGCCAGTCTTGGAAGAAAAATACACTTCTTTCAGATGGAGAAAAAGATGGATGAACACTGGGTGAAGGTAACAAGTAGTGTTTTAAGAAACAGGAGAAGCCTGAAGCTTTAAGATAACTTAAAATGGCTGGACTGGTTCTTGGTTTTAATTTTTCACTCTGAAAACAGAAAACATGTTAACCAATTACCCATTTTTAGGGGTGATAAAATTTGAACCCCAAATTAGTGTTATGTGCCTCTACTAAACTCTCAAATCAAAAAACCCTGAGTGCCAGAAATCAATCAATACTCTCTACTGAGTAATATTTTCATGGCCGGGCTGTTTCCTAAAATGATCTCTATAGTTTGAAAAGTAAAGCACCTTTTCCTTGAATTGGAGTTGCTTATTCCTTTTTCTAGATCTCCAGCGCCCCAGGGAAGACTGTCTTCCTAAAGGTTAGCTATCACTACTTCTGATCTAGCCTAAAAAGAAATAGGACTCACCAATTAGATTGTGAGGTGAAAAGAGAAGATGGTGATGACGAAGATGATGAACACTGAATATCTGAAGTAAGCGATTTGGAAACTATCTAAGGAATAAAGTACTTTCATTTTCTATTTAGAATACTAAATACATCTATCTATTTAATCTATTCAACTTAACAAACAAATTAAAAAAACAGCAACAAAAGCAATACAGTCTATTTCTTCTAGGGATAGTTCTGCTTGTAATGACACACACACAAAAATAAAAAAGATGCTATGGGTGAAAAATTTTACCTATTATCTCTAAAAGGGCATGTTCATAGAGCACATCTAAACATACAATACAAAACTATAGAAATTGGCCCTCTGGAATACCAATAACTTCATTATCTGTTGTAATTTCAAAGGCCTCCTGGAAAATGTGGCTTTGCCACTTCCTAGCTTTTACAATTCTCTTGTTTAAAATATCTATAGGCAGGCATTCTTGGTCTGTGATACTAATTTGATCTTTGTCACCCTCAGTTACCAGTGTCTCCGGCACTCTGAGAAAGACCAGGCAAGCCGTGTGGAGCTGCTCCCGACTGGATCAATCACTGCTGAGTCAGTCTCCTCCGCAGAAGGGCAGCCAGCCTGTGTCTGGTCTCGTTTACTGAAGATGCTCGACCCTTGGGAGGATGTGGGTGGGGGAGAGTGGGCAAACTTGAGCTGCTGACCCCCTTGGGCTGACCTGAGGTTGGGGAAGTGGTGGGTTTGGACGCTCCATGCAGGCTGGGGATTTTGATGCCTTTTTCGGAGCTCAGTCTTCCGAGGCTCCTCTCTCCCTGATTACTGACCACAGCAGCAGAGGTTAGGCTGCCCTGGCTGAGGGAACACGGTGACAACGGTAAACTTCCACTGAGCTTCTTGAGCTCCAGGAGCTGTTCTCTGGCTTGACTCAAAGCTTCCGTCAGTTCAAAGCGTTCTTCACACTCCCTACGCACTGTTTCCTGAAGAAAAGTGTTCTGAAATGAGAATAAAGCGGGGCGGGGGGAAGCATACCTAGCTTTAAACAGTTTACATATGGATAGTTCTTGGCATTATAAATTGAGAACTGAACTGGGAATCAGAGCCCTGTGCTCTTTGATTATCCATGAACACTCTACCACGTGGACAGAAAAGTCAAAAACGTGAATGATCTGTGAAGCTGGAAAGAACTTAAGAGAACATTCGATTCAGTCCTCGCAGTTTGCAGAAGAGGAACCAAGAGTCAGGGTCACTCAGGTGGAAGTGGTGCAGCTGGGGCTGGAACCCAGCACCTCATGCCTACCTCAGTGGGATTTCAATTTCTCTGCGCCTTGTGTTTCAGACACTAAGTCCTGCCCATGTGATGTCTAATCATTAATATCTGTAGTGTCGTTAAATATGTTAAATGTGTTATGTTATACGTTATGTTGTAACGAAGGTAGACTGCAATACTATTCTAAGACAAACAAATAAAATAGCTTGAATTTTAAGACTGAAAGAAGAAAATATATCAGCTATAGCATTTAAACAATAAAATCAGTTACTTTGTATGATGCCTTCTCAATAGAACCTAAGTACACTGACCATTTTATATTCTGTAAGATATATATCAAAGTAAAGAACATTTCCTATTTTTAACTCCATTCAGCAATCATTTATCAAGTTACCAGAAGCTATAGTGGATACAGTGCCTGCCCTCAAGAAGTTTGCAGCCTCGTAAGTCTGAACAGGGTCACTCTTTTTGTTCCCAATATAATTTGGAGCCAAGGGTGGAAGCTATTGGGGTTTAAGTCAAGGAAGAACATTTTTAATAGCCAGAGCTGGCCGAAGGATACCCTGAAAGGTTGAATCTCACTCGACTGGGACATATCAGAGAAAACTTAGGCTTCAAATGTGTGCCTGGACTAGAGGTCATTAAGGCCCCTTCAAATTCTTAGACTCTACATTTCTAGATTAAGAGTTACTAATCTTTCATCCATAGAATTCATCAAAATTACTTCAAGGCCTATGGTAAGAATTAGGTCTTAGATCTGACTAATGTCCTGACATTCATGTCTGCATGTTGTCAAAAAAGAGTCTGAAAAGTAAACAAGTCAAAGCGATATCTGAATAAATAAATACAATTAAAATGATTGTGGTATAGAATTCTTCAATTAAAAATGAACTTCCATCAGTTTAGCTTCTTTGTGAAAACAGCCAAGACATTCTCAAGCCTATCAGTGGAAAGCATTTTTCTAAGGCTTTACTGACTAACCTGCTGTCAGTGGAACTAAATAACAAAGCATCTGAGAAAGCACCATCTTCCTGTATTTCAGTTTCTTTTGATTATAGTCAGAAATCCATTCAATTTAAATTTGGTAATCAGTATTGAAGAATGTGGAGTAATTCTAGATTAACAATTGCAGACTAATTTCCTATAAAATCAGTGGTGTGTTTGGGTCACACAAAGCCTCACATTTACACATATTATTAACATACACACATGATCAATGTATCCACATATATTTTTCAAATCATGAGGGATAATTACTTGCTTCTAGTTATTTTCTTTCTTCTTCTTCTTCTTTTTTTAAATTAATTAATTAATTAATTAATTTATTTATTTATTTGTTTATTTTTGAAAAACAGGAGACCAAGGATGGTGTTTGTGGCTTTATCATCTGGGTCTCATGAACTCTACCTGAAATACTTGTTGAAAAGACAAGAGAAGGAGGGCTAGAGAAGAAGATTAATAAGATGCTACATTAGGTGTCATCTCATTTCTTGCTCCCGACAACCATATTTGACAAAGAAAGACAAGGAAGCTTAGACTGGTTATATAACTCGCTGAGAATAACCTAGTTCTAAAGTAGTGGGGCCCTGCCTGCTTCCAGGGACCTGTTCCAAGCTGCCTGTGTCTAAATTAATTGTATACTTAATTACATCAAGCGTGCAGGAGTCATTTTGTTCGAGGACACTGGAGCAATAAAAAACAGTAACAGTAAGGCATTATTTGGTTTTGCCCGAGTTTTCTACACTTAATCTAAACTTTCTTTTGAAAGGAAACAATATCAATGCATTATGTTTCCTGTCTACTAGTAAACTGCCAAAATATGTTGAAGTGATTAGATTTAATGGGTTTTTGATAAATTAGTATGAAAATGCCTTTGGTTAAGAAAGCTATGAGCATGCACAATGGACAAGTGGTTACCAAAGGGGAAGTGGAAGGGGGGGAGGGGGAAGTAGACAAGGGAAAGAAGAGATAAAAGAAAAAAAAGAATAAAAGAATAAAAAAGAGAAAAAAAGTAAAAAAATTTAAATCATTTCTTCAATTAAAAAAAGAAAGCTATGAAGAAGAGTTAATTTTATTTGAATATACAAAAGAAAAAATGGATAACAGTTAACAATGAGGTCAATAAAGTGGTGACATGACTAATACATGCACCAATATGAAAGGATAAAGTGATGGGTGATGTGATGACAAGAGCTCTCGTTAAAAGAAATATAAAATTCGATCCATTTACTAAAATTAAATTCGAGTCTCAGAGGAAAGGAGTAATGCTCTATAGAAAACATTCATAAAGCAGGTCACTTGAAAGCTATTTCAAGCAAGTGACACGCCACTGAAGGAAGAAGTGAAAAGGTGGAATGAACCCAAAGATGTTCCCATAACGATAATAACGGAAGCAAAGTGCCCACCAGCTCCAGATTAAACTGTGGAAGGGCTGCTGACTATCTTGGACTGGGTCCCATTTCTCTGGAACTCATCCTTCTTCAAGGCTACTAGCTTCCAGAAAAAAGGATGAATCCTCTTCTATTATTTCCCAAACGAGGAGGACCTCTGAACTGAAAGCAGGATCCGAAGCTAGGACTTCTATTTTTGTCTGTTCTACAAACACTATGATATCTCAGATGAATCCCATAATATCTGTATATCCTCTTCCACCATTATGTCCTCCTTTAAAATTAAGATTATAATTCAGTTTGTACAACCAGCAGTTCATGTATTATCATTTATTCAATTATAGAGAAAAAAATAGAAATAAGACACATCGAGTTTAGAGGATTGCTATTTCAGAGGTGGAGTGTGTGAGGCAGGACAAGAGTCCAAGTGAATACAGCCAGAGTCAGAGTCAGTAAGACACATTAGTGGAAAATTCCGCCACATGTGGAAAAGAATCATTCACTCGTGGTTAGATTGCTTACAGCAATTTAGGCAAATCAATTGTCTTTTCGAGTTGTCTTTTTGGAAGGCTGTTGCAGAATTTTAATATTTTCATTGAACAACATGGGAAAATGTGTAAATGGAATATGTTCGGAGAGATTGAAAATCATGGGCAAACATGAAAATAATCAGTGAAGCCGGAGCATTGTAAGTGTTTTAGGCAAAATTATCACTGGCCATATTTTAGCGTAGTGAAATAGTATCACTGGATTTCAACTAAACTAGGTCAAGATGAAAAGGGAGGCATGAGCCAGGTGAAGAAAGGGCAGTGGGGTTTTCCAGGCAGAGTGGGAAGTGAGAGAGGGAGAGGCACATCTTAGGATGACGCGTGGCTTAGAATGACTCAGGCGCAGAGTACACAAGGGGAGAAGAGAACAGGACTGAGGCGGGGAAGAGTGAGCGGTGTCACACGGAGGATTACTTACTTTGGTTACATCCTAATATTAGAGTTTTAACTCAATTCTCAGTGGCATACGTAGTCATTGAAAGATTGATTTCAAGCAGGGGGCTTACACGGTCCAATTTGCATCAAAGGAAAATCTCTTTGCCAGCTCTGTGGAAAATGGCTCAGAGTGGGCAAGATGGGAGGAAGGGAGGAGGCCAAAGTTTTCATGGAGAAGGTTCCTATCCTGACTGTCCCTTGGTTAGGTTGGTCTAGGGGAGGGAGAACTAGAGTTCCTGGGTCCTTAAGCCATGCCAGTTTGTAGACATATCTGTAGATATGTTCTGCAGATATGCCTACAATACTTTCAGATGAAGGCCACTTTAAATCGGCTTGAAATATGGCTTAACTGTACTTCCAATGGGTAAGTAAATGTCAAAATAAATTAGCTCATCTTTTGTTTGAAATTTATAATATTAAAAAAATTGGCCAATTTCCTCTACTCTGCAATGTAAGAGTGGTTTATTTTTATGTTTGTTTTCATTTTTATCCTTAGAAACAACTGGATTGCTTTCAACCGTGGAAGGAGCAAGAAAAGGCTTTTCTGGGTGACTTGATCATTCTGAAGGTGAGAATCCTAGTTGTGCTGGAAATCAGCTGTATTTGGCATAATTTGGGGGGAGCATGCAAGGAAAACAAGTCCTCAGTGAAGGATAAGCACAGATGGATGACTTCGTCCACGCTTTATACCCAGTGAGGTCTGAACCAGTCATGCAATGTTCAGATTACAGTTTCCACCAGCACAGACTAGACATACCCCAGGGTGAGTGCATGACCAGCCAGCTGGGTGGGGAGCTAAGGTAAAAGGAAACTCTGTGGAAAGGTGTGGAAACCAGAAAGATGAGTAGGAGTTAGCAAAGGACGTGCCCAAACTTCTATTAAGGCTTCTGTTCAACTAATGTGATCAGCCCAAAACAGTGCAGAAAAACAGTGGAAATGATCCTTTCATAAGGCAGGAATGAGAGTCTGAATAGATTTCCAGAAAAGAAGTAAGATGGATGTCCAGTAAGTTGTTCTTAAAATTGTATTTCTATGCTTGCAAACATAATGGACACTGAAACGACTACAACAGACATACCAAAACGGAAGCAGAAAAAGAGGGCAACAGCCTTTGGACTGATCTGCCTCAAGAGCAGATTTTCAGAATGGGGAGAAAGAGCCCATGAAGACACAGTGTTCAGGATCTACTTTCCTAAATCAATAATCTAACTTTAATTAGATTTAATTAGTATTAATTAAATACAAAAAAAATTTCTCCATATTTTTTCTTATTCTGTCAATTTTCTGGTGTCTATATTTTGCATCGCAGCTGACTGTCTCCAACATGTGAAAGGCAGCCTTGCCTGGATCTC